CCTAAATCTGGTTATTGAACAAGAAAGAAGGAGAATTTCAAGCCCTTTTTTCGGTTTCCAAAGGAAGAGGAAGTCGGTGGCTTTGGGGGGGGCTTTTCGGGCTGCACGAAGAAGAAGAGCAGAGCAGAAACGTGTATGGCTAGGAAGAAAAGGAATGAAAATATCAGCTGATCCTTATCCTAATTTCCTTTCTTTTTAGTCCCCGAACTTTGAAAATTTTTGCCATTAAATTCATTAATAGTATTTCTTCACAATTAGGTCCCTAATTCACACTTTAATGCTCTGGAAATTTTGGGGTATTACACTTAAGCTCAAAATCTCAAGGTAAAATCTATCTTACAAAAGCATGATTTATTTCTAAAATCTATATCAATCTTGAAATGGCTAGCCTTCTAACTCGTCACTTCCCGTGGTTTTCCCGTCCTCGGTTTCGCTTCCTGAAATGGTGGACAAGGAAAAACTATGAGATAAACTCAGTAAGTAAATATGGAGTGCCCCTTATTAAACTTATAGCATGCTAACAAGTGCAATTACGAAAAACGGATACAGTATGGGAACGAAATAGACGTTTTCTCTATAGGTCACGGCCAGTGTTATAAACCTCCCACTGGCAGGCACACTATTTGCTGGTGTATAATCCCCACTAGCAGGGTCACTCAACGAACCAGTTTTATCAATAACATGTCGACATGTGCTAGCGTTTATAAACCTCCCCCTAGCGGGCACACGAATAACATGATCATATCGGAGACAAAACAGGCAGAGATTAACAGAAAAATCATAATTCACCAATCACTTTCAAATCATTAGGACAATCAATTAAATCTCAAGTAGGCATGCTCAATTTAATGAAAAGCATAAAAATTTCATTTCAATCGATCATACTTGTGTAAAACGAGTTTAGTCCCGCCACCACTTCAAAAACAAATCAAAACATGCTTTTAAAAATTGTATGGGCATTACCATAAATTTACTTACCTCACTCGCATAAAACCGAAACTCGATCTCAGTGCTAAACTAACAGAACAATCAAGAACCTAATCAAAATATTTCAGAATTAATTACCGTACCACGGATTCAAAAGTAAAATCACCATGACTACCCCCTAATCATGATGCTATTTCTATCAATCTCCACATGATCAAATATCTCCAAATTTGTTCTTATATCACAAACTAAACATTTAAATCCCCGTTAATTGTTGACCCTCGGTATGTGAACAGTAATCTGTGAACAGTACCCGTGAACAGTAACCACAACGTGAACAGTAACTCCAACTTCCAAAAATTGGCCAAAACACTAGCAAATCTCACGGGATTTTTCTCCAAATATCTCACAGCAGTCAATTAACACTCAATCACATAAATCCCACTTAAATTAATGCTTAATTTTATCCTAAAGCTACCGGAATTCATCCCCAAATTTCAGCCAAATTCGGACACACAAGGCAGCAAATAAATGGACAAATTCGGGGCTTGGAGGGGCTGTCAACATACCAGAATTTCCAGCTGCAGAAACTGGGCTTGGCTGGTGAGGGAGCCGGCGGCAATCTGCAGGGGCAATTCACGAGGCTTGCAAAAATTGAAGGAACCGAGAGCAATTAAGGTAAACCCAAGCCAATTCAAGCAAGAACAAAGGAATTAATGGCTGTTGCTTACCGAAAATTCAAAGGAATTTGCACCCACAACCGGCAAGAGCAGCAACCGGACAGAGCAGAACAGAGCAGATCCAGATTTTCTGAAAAGGGGAGAGATTTCTGGGTTCACTTTCAGTCCTAGAACAAGAAAATAAGGAGAAATCCCCAAGCTTCCTACTGGTTTTTGAGCCGGAAATGGGTGGCAGCAGCTGGGGCTTTTGGCCGGTTGCAGGGGGTCGGGAAGAGCAGAAACGCGAAAATGGCTGGGGAGAAAGAAAGAAGAAAAAGAAAAAGAAAGAAGTTGATCCTTATCCAAAAATCTTTCCCTCTTTAAGTCCCTCAACTTTTGAAATTTTGGCAATTAAGCCCAAAACAATATTTTCCCACAATTTAGTCCTTAACTTAATGCTATGTCACAAAATTTTGGGGTATTACAATACTGATGAATATAGTGTCCCCTTTGTAAACAATAATGACAAATGATACCATAGTGAACATGATTATCTCTAGAACTTGATGCTTCTACTATGTCATAAGAATGCAAAGTATTACAATTCATAAAAACAGTAGATTTAGATGAGGAAGACTTAGATAATTCAAAAGAAGGTCCAGCTCTATTATGAGGAAATCTTTGTGAACTTAAATTGTTGTCTAACTTACATTTGCCTTTCACAAAACTGTTCAAAGAACATTCAAGATGGCTTATTTTCCTTTTTAATTCATCTACCAGCTTATCATGCTCTTCAATCAACTTTTTTTTGTAATTTCTAAATGCAATTATTGACTCTTCCAAGTCAGTTTCCATATTTTGACTAATTATTTTTTCCTTATTTAAAGATTCTTTCAAATCACTATTTTCTTTTCTAAGTGACAAAATTTCCCGTTTTAAAGATGCATTTTTTGCACTAATTTGTTTAGTATGCTCATATAATTCACCAAATGCATCTTGCAAATCTTCATATGGCATTTCATCATCACTAGCATGATCAAAAATAGAAGAAGAAATGGAATTTACCTCATCTGTGTCATCATTTGCCCTGAGACAAATATGAGCTTCCATGTCACTTACTTCTTTACTACAAGATGAGTCCTCACTGCAACTCCAAGTGGCAACCATTGCCTTCTTTTTCTTTTTGGCTTTTAGACTTTTTTCATCATTGTTTGGACACTCAGATTTAATATGTTCAGCTTTCTTGCATTTGTAGCAGATAATTTCATCCTTTTTACTACATTCTCCCTTTCCTTTACTGCTTTTGTAGTTTTTCTTTTGTTGTCCTTGATTCTTCAGCTTGTCTTTCCTTAGGAAACTCTTAAACTTTCGAGTAAGCACTATAAATTCTTCATCATCCTTTTCATCACTGTCACTTTCATCTTTAAAGGAGCTTTTGAAAGCTACAGATTTCTTCTTCCGAGAATCATCATCACTTTCATCATTTTTCATGGCCATTTCATGTGTAAGAAGCTTCCCTTGCAACATCTCAACAGTCATGGCACTTAAATCATGAGCTTCTTCTATTGTCGTCTTGATTAAACTCTAGGATTTTGGCAATGAGTGAAGAATTTTTCTGACGTTATCTTCCTTAGGAAGCACCCTATCAAAAAGCTTTAATTCATTAGTGATTTTGGTAAAACGAGTAAACATGTCTTTAATGTCTTCATCTGATTTCATTTTGAATAGCTCATATTTTTGAACCAACATGTTAATTTTTGATTTCTTGACTTCATTAGTTCCTTCATGAGCCACTTGTAATTTATCCCACATTTCCTTAGCAGAATCACTTGCACTAATTCTATCATATTCACTAGGATGTAAAGCACAAAATAATGCATTTTTAGCTTGAGCAGTAATCTACAGTTTCTTTTTTTCAGCTTGATCATATGATGCAAGATCCGTAGGAACAAGTTGGTTATCGTTGTCACTAACTAAGATTTTATATGGTCCTCTAGCAATACAATCCCACATCTCATAGCTATTTGCTTCTAACCAAATTTGCATCCTATTTTTCCAGTATTGATAATTTGTTCCATCAAAATAAGGTGGCCTAGTGATTGAATGACCTTCAACAAAATGAGCTTGGAAAGCCATGGATCTACTCAAAATTGTTAAATCTATTTCTAAGAGAACCTGCTCTGATACCAATTGTAATCCCAGCTAGCTACCCCTCAATTCCTAAGATATAAAACTCATTTCTTTTCCTTTATAAAAATGTGAATTAAGTTTTCAATAAATATGTATAACCTGTTGTGCAAAATAAAATAGAGATCAATTGCAATTTTGCAAATAAAGTGCAGAAAAATAAAAAGAAAGGGAAGATAATATCAAGCCGTGATTTATAGTGGTTCCTCCAACCTGGAGTACGTCCACTCCCCAAGCCTCCTTGCTCGAGAGTTCAATCCACTAGAAATCTCTTGCTTACGGGTGCAAGATTAAACCGAAACAAACTCTTGCTTGCGGGTG